GGAAGTGCAGTAATCTGGGTGCAGTAAAAAAAAGTTCTGGAACATAGTGTCATGAGGTGGTGACACTGGGCTCTTCCTGTTTTTTGGTTCCACATCCTAATTGATCTTTTTGTTAAACTAGCTTGAGGGTATTTTTGTTGTTGTTTTGTTTTGTCATTCCCAACCAATAGATTCATGACCAGCATTGTTTTTCAGGGCTAATAATGAAGATGATAGGATATGCCAGATCTCTTCCAAATATTTCTAAGACCCTAAGCCATTCTGGCTCCACATCATGGGTATTTTGTAAAGTTTGGAACCCTGAGGCCATCAATTCTGTCAATGTCTCTCATCTCTGGCATTCTTAGGCACTGTCACTTTGGTGTCACTTCCATCTTGCACCTCATTCCTGTTAGCTCATCATCAAAAACTCTTCCTGAAATACTTTTTTGACACTGCTAAAGTTATTTATTTTTCTAAGCGGTTCCTTCATGCACATCCTTATGAACAAATGAAATATCAGCTCAGATGACCTTTCTTCTGAGAAGCACTGCCTTCTCCTAGCTGATACGGTGTTCAACATTCAGTACAAGATGCAACTTCAATACAATCCAAAATATAACGGTATATTAGGATTGTTGGGTTATTCAGTTCCTCACAGGACTATAGGCATCTTGGGAGCAGGGACTGTATCTTCTAAATCTTTGTGCTCTTAGTATCAAGCATGCAGGACCACATTTATTTAGGAGATTCTAAATAAATATGGGAAAACTGATAGAAAAAGGGCATTTTGCTGGATAAAGTATTTCTGATACAGGCAGGCGTGTAATTTAAAAGATGGTGAGTAGATGATATAGACTGAAGACCTAACAAAGGAAGAATAAAATTCCTTGAGTAAAAGAACAAGGCAGAAATCTCATATGTCTTACGTGATGAGATGATAGTTGGAATTAGTATCAAATCCTGAAATGGCGTGAGAGATCATATTTTTCCAAGGAAAGGGAAGGAGGCCCAACAATACTTAGCAAATGCTGACTGCAGCAAAAGACTTGGCCCTGGTTAAAGACAGGAAGAGTGACTAAGCTGTGTTTGTCTAGGAAGTAGTTTATGGAACTTTATTAAACAAAGGCAGTGTTCTGTTTGGGGGAATAATAGAAACATTTCCATTCCATCCTTGTCTTGACAATCACATTCCAAACCAGAGGGACTTTTAACAGAAGCTTACACTCCACCTGTGATGCAATGTATGTACAGTCCTGCACCACAACTGTGCCCTGGACAACCGCCCTGCCACGTTGACCCTGCCTGGCCTGCCTGCCCTGTCACCTTGACTTAATGCACCTGGCCCTGCCATTGTGACACGTCACCCACCCCCTCACCCCCAGACAGTTGGGCCTGCCATCGCAACCTGGCTGCCTGACAGGTGCCCTGGACTACATCAAAATAAAAAGCTTTGTCTGAAGACAAAAAATGGACACAGGATTAGTAAATGAGTTCATAGAGTGAAGGATGACAACCTTTTTATCTATCTACAGAGGAGAGTACTGTGAGACAGTTTACTCTGTAGAACTGGGCTCAGGATTTGGAGGTGCAGGGGTGAAACTGAGCGATTGCTTGAAATGCCTATAAAGTATAATTATTAGGCCAGTTCCTTACCATCGCTCCACCCCTGCAGAAAATAGAAAACACATGTTCTGGAGAACACTGGGTTTTACTGAGCTCTTGGTCCATCAGGAATGCAGTGTTGGAGAAACAAGGGCAGAGAGAGATGGCCTTGTACCACACTGGATGAAAAGTTACCTCTAGATAGAGAAAACTCTGGAAGAGCTTAACTCGGAGTGTATTAGGCAAAGCACACTCGACAAACCTGGCCAGGAGCAAAACAAGGAAAACTGCCTTTCTTGGCCTGGACCCTGGCAGAGAAAATCTCCTCCCCCACCACCAATCTCTGTTGTGACTGTTCTGCAACTTAGTGCAAAAGAAGCTACGGACTGTGTAAATAATTAGTGACTTAATAACTGACTGTGTTCTACTTAAACTTTAGTAATAAACCCTAAAATTTCAGTTTCATAAGATTTCCATAAAGGACCTAAATAGATACTTACCAAAGTGGACATATAGATGGTCAATAACACAAAATATTACTTGCACTTTTTTTCAACCATGTAAAAACGTAAAAGCTAGTCTTAGCTCTCTTGCAATACAAAAAGAAGTAGCAGGCTGGATCTGGCCTTTGGTTTATAGTTTGCTGACCATTAAACTAGACATTAATAAGCTTTTTAAAAACTGGAGGGTGATCACTCACCTTGTGTCCTCTCAACTCAAAAGGCAAGAAAGGAAGGGTGGGTGGGGGGAGGATAGACAGGACAAGTAGAAAGTGCAAAATAATGTCAGAAATAGTATTTAAATGTATGTAAATGGACTAAGTTTACAGGCTAAATGATGGCCAGAATGTATTTTTTTTCATCCAAATAAATGTTGTTTAAAAGTTATATCCTCTCCCAAAAAAAAGAAACATACCCCAAACATAAGAGTTCATTCAAATTCAAAGTAAATTTGTGCATGGGCGGGGGGGGGGTGCGCAGTGTCCCTCAGCCCAGCCTGCACTTTCTCCAACTGCCCATTTAAACCCAATTCCAGTGGGATTGGGCCTAAACAGGCAGTCTTCTCACAACCCAGGACTGCTGGCTCCCAACTGCTCACCTGCCTGCCTTCCTGATTGCCCCTAACCACTTTTGCCTGCCAGCCTGATCACCCCCTAAACACTCCCCTGCTAATCTGATCGATGTCTAACTGCTCCCCTGCCAGCCTATTTGCCCCCAACTTCCCTCCCGTGCAGGCCTGGTCCCTCCCAACTGCCCTCCCTTGCTGGCCATCTTGTGGTGGCCATCTTGTGTCCACATGGGGGCAGGATTTTTGACATGGGGGCAACCATCTTGTGTGTGGGAGTGAGGGTCAATCTGCATATTACTCTTTTATTAAATAGGATAGAGGCCTGGTGCATGGGTGAGGACCAGCTGGTTTGTCCTGAAGTGTGTCTGGACACGCTTCCCTTGGGGCATGGAATGGCCTGGGCAAGGGGCCTGTGGTGATTTGCAGGCCAGCCTCGCCCTCTGGCAACCCAAGCAGAGGTCCTGGTATCTGGAATTTATTTACCTTCTACAATTGAAACTCTGTAGCCTGGAGCGGAGGCCTAGGCCAGACAGGGTGTGCGGACAGCTTTGCTTCTTCCATTGCCGGGGACAACCCAGGCCTCCTGCTCTTTCCAATTCTGTGGCTGCGCTATTTCTGTTTGGATTTGTTTACCTTCTATAATTAAAACTTTGTAGCCTTGAGTGGAGGCTTAGGCCGGCTAGGGCAGGTAGAAAGCTTGGCTTCCTCTGTTGCCTGGGAAACTGAAGCCTCTCTCCTGCCCTCTCTGGCTATAGCCATCTTGGTTGGGTTTATTTGCATACTCGCTCTGATTGGCTGATGGGCATGGCTGATGGGCATGGCTTGTGGGTGTAGCAGAGTGATGGTAAATTTTAGGAAGCCAGTATATCCAGACAAGTACATTATAAAAAAATAAAATTTACAGGCATTTTCATTTATGAATATGAATTAAAAAATTAGAAAATCAAGACTAACTTGTATACATATATGTATAACCCATGGACACGGACAATAGCGTGCTGAAGGCTGGGGCTGGGGGATGGGAACTGAGGGAGGTCAATGGAAAAAGGGGACATAATATAATACTTTCAACAATAAAGAATTATTTTTTTTTTAAATTAAGAAAACCAAGTCTAACATTGTTTTGAAAAAAGCATAAAACATCATAACTGAAGTTGTATTTATTCTTAGACTGCAAGCAAGTCCAGTGATCAAAAAGAAGTCAATGTTCAAATTAATCTATAAATTAAATCCAATCAAAATCCCAAAGGCATTTAAAAAAAAAATAGAACTTGACCAGATTATAAGTTTTATAATTGAGTAGAGCCAAGCACAATGAAAAACAATTTTCAAAAAGAACAAGATGGTGGTGGGGGAGAGGGAAACTTCTCCATTAGATATTAGATTAACTATAAATTTCTAATACTTGATATAAAGTAACAGTAGTTATTTTTACTGTTCTACATCCCAGTTCCTGGCACCTAGTAGGCATTCAGAACTATCTGATAAGCAAATGAAGCGTGCCTTTGAAGGCAGCAGAAATACAGTAGGTTAAAAGTGGGAAAGGAAGAGAACTGGCTGAAACAGTAAAACACACCATGGAAAGTAGGAGGATGAAAAAGATGACGGGAAACGAGGAATATCTGAGAGCAATTCTGTTGGCTCTGGTGGTAGAAGATGTGTAACATAAGTGAGGTCAAGTAAGATATAGTTGTGAATGACCTTGAATTCAGATGTTTTTAAATTAGGGAAATTGCCAACAATAGACATTTTAGATTACCTGCCAGTTACTTGACTTCAAACTATAATGGCCAATGTTCTAATTCAGCTGTGCTATTGATTTATTCAGCTCATGTTTAACAAGCTCCTCCTTTGTACTCAGCACTATACCAAGAGCTGGGATTTTAATGGTGAGCACGATCGCACGATCAGATACCATCCCTGCCCTCATCTGCAGTCTGCTACCATGCTAATTGTTTCGTTGAGAATGTTTAAAAAAGGCTGTATCCAGTGTGAAATATTTTCAAAGCCTGGATTCACTCTTATGAAAATAAGATCTTAAAATGTACACTAACTCTAGAAATTGAAAATCACTGCTTTTCATTTTACCAGGAGTTAGAATCTATAATGATAAGCTGTATACCAAATTTTTTTCCCTAATCAAACTGCATATGATTTTTGTTATTAGAAACATATACTATATTTTTAATTACATTTTGCTAATCATTTGTCTTGGCTGGTAATCTTTATATGTATATGAACTTTGCACAAGTGACATGAGAAATACGGAATACATTCCTGGTATGTCCTGGTGAGTATTGTCAAGTATTGCCATCTCTCAACGTCTTTCCTCATGTGTCCGTTTGCAGGAGTTGTATTCGCACGTTATGGTCCAGTCTGGAGACAACAGAGGAAGTTCTCTCATTCAACTCTTCGTCATTTTGGCTTAGGAAAGCTTAACTTGGAGCCCAAGATTATTAAGGAGTTCAAATATGTGAAGGAGGAAATGCAAAAACATGGAGGAGACCCCTTCAATCCTTTCCCCATTGTCCACAATGCTGTCTCTAACATCATTTGCCTCATGTGTTTTGGCCGGCGCTTTGATTACAACAATAGTGAGTTTATGAAAATGCTTACTTTTATGTCACGAGGGTTAGAAATCTGTCTGAACAGCCAGCTTCAACTGGTCAACATATGTTCCTGGCTTTATTATCTTCCTTTCGGACCATTTAAGGAATTAAGGCAAATTGAAAATGATATTCTCGGTTTCCTTAGAAGAATAATCAAAGAACATCGAGAATCTCTGGACACTGAGAACCCACGGGACTTCATAGACATGTACCTTCTCCATGTGGATGAAGAGAAGAAAAACAACAGCAATAGTAGTTTTAATGAAGATTACTTACTTTATATCATTAGTGATCTCTTCATTGCTGGGACTGATACCACGACTAACTCTTTGCTTTGGTGCCTTCTGTATATGTCACTGTACCCTGACATACAAGGTAATTAATAGGTGTTTTCTTTATTCATGGCAAAGTTGGGTTATATAAATTAGGTTCAGCAATTTTGGTGATCCTGTGGCTCCTGGCACTAAGCAATGGAGAGGTACTATTGAAACTCCATGTTTCTAGACCGTGTCATACTTACTTGCCCTTGCTTTAAATCTGTACAGGTCTGATTCTGTGTAGAAACTGTAACTAAGAAAGAACTTGAGAGAGGAATAACAATTTAGAGCTGGTGGGAATCATAATGATCATCCAAACCCATTCATCTTGTTTTTAAAATGGAGAACAGAGGTCCAGAGAAGTTATGTGACTTTCACAAACTCACACAGCTAGTTCCACTGCATCAATCCCAATAGGCAGTGGATGCCAGTGGCAGTGCATAGTGGATGAACCAGGAAGATAGTGTATTCATTTCTGTTGTTCCTATAACGAATAACTATATACTTAGAAACTCTCTTCTAGTTCTGCACATTAGAAGTTTGACACATATCTCACTGGGCTAAACTCAAGAGGTTGACAGGGCTGCGTTCCTTCTTGGAGGCTTTAGAGGAGAATCCATTTCTGGGTTCCTTGGCTCATGGCCCTCTTTCTCCATCTTCAAAGCCAGAAATATTGCCTCTCTCTGACCACTCATCTGTAGTCCCATTTTCTCTGCCTCTAAATTCAACTGGGAAAAGTTTTCCAATTAAAAACTCAAGTAATTAGATTGGGCATTTTCAAAAAATCCAGGATAATCTCCCCACTATAAGGTCCTTAGTTTAATCACATCTGCAGTCTCTTTTGCCAGATAAGGCAGAATGTTCACAAGTTTCAGGGGATTAGCTTGTGGACATCTTTGATGGGCCTTTTTTTTTTTCTTTTCTTTTTTTTTCCTACTACAGATGGGATTGTGTTTATCTGTATTGGTTAATCTATTGCTGAGAAACACATTATCCCAAAATTTAGCATCTGAAAATAATCTCTCACAAAGTTTCTGAGAATCAGGAATCCAGGAGTGGCTTAGACTGGATGGTCTGACTTAAGATTTCTCATGATGTAGTAGTCAAATCTGGCTGGGGGATCCACTTCCAAGATGGCTCCCCCACTTGACTATTGGTTGCAGACCTTACCACTCGGACCTTGCCGTAGGGCTGCTTGACTTGACCCTAGAGAGAGTGAATGGCCAAGACAGGAGCCTCAGTGACTTTTATAAGCTAAGTTCAGAACTGACATGCCAACTCCTCCCTTACTCTGTTAGTCACTCAGAGCAACTTAGTATAATGTGGGAGGGGACTGCGTAACAATGTGTAAACCAAGCTTTGGCCAGTGTGGCTCAGTTAGTTGGGCATTGTCCCATGCACCAAAAGGCTGCTGGTTTGATTCCAGGTCAGGGTACAAGCCCAGGTTGTGGGCTCCATCCTCGATAGGGGATGTGCAAGAGGCATCCAATAGATGTTTTACTCTCACATCAATGTTTCTCTCTCTCTAAAAATCAATTAAAATTGAATGTGTAAACTAAGAGGCATGAAGATCACTGGGAGCCTTGTTGGGCTACCATATATTATCTCATATACCAGTAAAGCTTAGATAGTCCATCCATTATTCACACGACAGAATAATTCAGAGTACTCCTGAATACAGGGGCTAGCTTGCTCCACTTGGAATATCTGATCAGTGCTTCACTTCACTCAGGCTGAATCAGGCCTGTACTGCCACACTGCTGGTTGTACATACAAGATAATGGTAAGTGGCATAGGAGGGAAGTCTCAACTTACTAGTGACTGATCTTCTGGTTTATTCTCTCTTTGTATAGTAAAGGTTCACGAGGAAATTGAAAGGGTCATTGGTGCTGACCGAGTCCCTTCCTTCACTAACAAGGCCCAGATGCCCTTTACAGAAGCCACCATCATGGAGGTGCAGAGGCTGACAATGGTGGTGCCACTTTCCATTCCACATATGACCTCGGCGAAAACAGGCAAGTCTAGAAATTCCACCTTTGATGGGAAGCCCAGCCCAGGGAAGTTGAGGTGAGGGTATGGTGTCCATCACCCACCTTGATCCTTCCAACAGTTTTGCACTGTATCCTAAATAATCAGGTGTCCAGGGGATGCTTCAGCAGATAGTTGTCCATTATTTGTTGTACTGGCATTCCACACAGCTTGTTTTGTAAATGGCTTGCTCTTCAGAGCACAGATGCCCACAATAGTCAAACAAGTTAAGCTGCCATCTGCGGTGGCTGCCTTGACAGAAGAAACTCTAGTGTTGACAAAGGCACCCACCTCTCCATTCTCTTCTTAGGGGCCAGAAGAGCTAGTCAAAATATGGAATTAAGGCCTTTAACACCTTTTTTACTGGTCAGGAGTCAACTGGTGTTTCCACTCACATTAAGTAATTTTAAGGTCTGAAAGCAATGTAGAATTTTAAAAGAGCACTCTAGACTGTTTTCTTAGTTATGTTTGATTAGGCTCAGATTATAAGAGTTGCAAGATACAAGCCACTTCACTGCTGGGCACTTATTTCAGCCGTCCCTAGTTTTCCTCTTTGCTATGCCTGCCTTTTTCTCAGCTCCTCAGTCGTGACAAGAAATACATCTATTCTTTCTATCCATCTTTGATTATGGCATAAGTTTTTTAAAAAGACGTGTCACGGCAGAAAAGAATGTTAGAGTGAATTATATGCAGACACCGCATCTGATTGGCCAAATGACTTTGGTAGTCAGCTGGAAGATAGTACCTTGTCAGAAGATAGTAATGAGTTTGACATTAGACTGCAAAAGAAATGGAAAGTATCCAACAGTGAAAGTGATTCTGAAGAAGAATGGGCAGAAAAAGACATTTTACCTTGAGGATTATACAAACATTTCAGGCATAACTGTTCAACCTGAAGACCCATAAAGTATAAGTGAAGTAACAAATTTATTTTTCGATAAGAATTTTTTCAATCTCATTACTTCTCAAACCAATTTATACATTAGCACATGGAAAAATACCACAAAACCTTTGCTGAAACTTCACCATAGATGAAAGTTACTTATATAAATATAAAGAAGTTTATTGGTTTAATTATATATTTTTTAAAATCTTTATTTTAAAAAGATGTTCCTATCCCCATCCCCCCCATAGCTCCTCTCCACCCGGTTCCCACCCCACTCCAGGCCTCACCCCTTCTTCCCCCACCCACTGACCTCATCCATAGGTGTAAGCTCTTTGCCCAATCTCTTCCGGAAGCCCCCATAACTCCTTCCCCCCAAGAACTGTCAATCTGCTCCATTTTCATGCCCCTGATTCTATTACATTCACCAGTCTGTTCTGTTCATCAGGTTTTTTATTCATTCGATTTTTAGGTTTACTTGTTGATAGATATGTATTTGTTGTCACTTGGTTGTTCATAATTTTTTATCTTTACTTTTTTCTTCTTCTTCCTCTTCTTAGAGAATACCCTTCAGCATTTCATACAATACTGGTTTGGTGGGGATGAACTCCTTTAGCTTTTTCTTATCTGTGAAGCTCTCTATCTGACCTTCAATACTAAATGATAGCTTTGCTGGTTTGAGTAATCTTGTTTGTAGGTTCTTGCTATTCATCACTTTGGATATTTCTTGCCACTCCCTTCTGGCCTGCATAGTTTCTGTTGAGAAATCGGCTGACAATCATATGGGTAACTGTTTTCTCTTGCTGCTTTTAAGATTTTCTCTTTGTCATTATGATGTGTCTTGGTGTGATCCTCTTTGAATTTCCTCTTGTTTGGGGTTCTGTGTGCTTCCTGGACTTGTAAGTCTAGTTCTTTTACGAGGTAGGGGAAGTTTTTTATTATTATTTCTTCAAATAGGTTTTCAGTATCTTGCTTTCTCTCTTCTTCTGGCACCCCATAATTTGGGTGTTGGTACATTTGAAGTTTTCCCAGAGGTTCCTTACCCTATCTTCATATTTTTGGATTCTTTTTTCTTTTTTGCTTTTCCAGTTGGGTGTTTTTTGCTTCTTTGTATTTTAAATCTTTGACTTGATGCTTGGGATCCTCTAGTCTGCTGTTGAATCTCTGTATATTATTCTTTATTTCAGTCAGTGTACGCTTAATTTCTGATTGGTCCTTTTTCATATCCTTCAGGGTCTCACTAAATTTCTCAGAGGTTTCTAGAGAAATATATATATATTTTAAATATATATTTTTTTTATTTTTTTACAGAGAGGAAAGGAGAGGGAGAGAGAGTTAGAAACATCGATGAGAGAGAAACATTGATCAGCTGCCTCCTGCACACCCCCTACTAAGGATGTGCCTAAAACCAAGGTACATGCCCTTGACTGGAATCGAACCTGGAACCTTTCAGTCCACAGGCCAACACTCTAGCCAAACCAGTTTGGGCATCTAGAAGATTCTTGAGTAACCTTATTACCATGGTTTTGAACTCTATATCCAGTATTTTGCTTTCATCCATTTCTTTCATTTGTGACCTGTTTCTTTGTCTCCGCATTTTGGCTGCTTCCCTGTGTTTGTTTCTATGTACTGGGGAGCTGCTAAGTCTCCTTGAGTTGATAGAGTGGCCTTGTGTGGTAGGTGTCCTTTAGGCCTCCCCAGTCACCTGAGATGGATGCTCTTGGTACACCCCTTTGTGGGCTGTGTGCACAGTCTTGTTGTAGTTAACTTTTAATTGCTGTTAGTATCACTGGGAGGAATTGACCTCCAGGCCAACTGGCTGTGATGACCAGCTGTTTCTACACTAGAAGATCTGTTGTGCAGGAGACACCCTTATGGGCAGGACTTGCTTCATTTGGGGCTTTGGTGCTGAGTCTGCCCCTTGAGTGTGTCTCTTATAGATGTAAGGGGTTGTAATCTAGTATGATCTCATTCTACCGCTGGTTACACTGGCTCTCGGATCTCCAAGGAGGTGCAAGGTCAGCCACTGTCTGGGGCCACCTAGCAGGAGCTACAGAGACATCTGCAAATTCCTCCTCTTTATATGGGGTTTGGAAGTGCCCAGATGAGGCCCAACTCTGGGTCTTGAGCCGTCTTTTAGAAGCTCTGGGGCTCTCTGACCCAGCTACAGTTTGACAGGTTTTAGGCAGAGAAAGGACATGTAATTCATATGCAAAAGCTGCTGCGCACAGCTTGGGTGGGGTTGTAAATTGGGTGGGGTGGGGTCTCTGGGAATCACCAGGATGGAGCAAACAGCAATGGCTTCCAGTCAGCCCTGCACTGGAGAGGTCCCTGGGTCTCCACCTCCCGTGTCCCCATGCAAGAACAATGATTGCTGTGAGCACTTCTGAGAGAAAGTGGCCCTTGCGTTCCTGTCACAGTTTCTCCCCTTATGTATCTGGGTCTCCCAGAGTCACACAGAATTGGAATTCAGAGCAGGCAAGAGCTTGTATCTCCCTCCCAACTCAAAAAGTAGCACACCGGGTGCCAGCATTTTCTGTGCCTCTGCATCTCTTACCAGTCTCAATGCACCTTCTTCACCTCTCTAGTTGTGGAACTTCCACTTAGCCAGCTTTCCCGTGGTTCTGGGTGGTAGTTGTTCTGCCTTTTAGTTGTAATTTTGATGTGGTGGTAAGAAGTAGCAAGTATAGGTGTTTATCTATGCTGCTATCTTGATTCTTCTTGGTTTAATTATATTGATGGGACTAACGAAAAAGCCAGAATGAAAAGATTACTATTCAACTTTACTTGAATCACCCATAGTTCCAAAAAACTATGTTTATAGAAAGAGGTTTGAGTAAACACTTACATTCTCTCATCTGAATGATAATTTACAAACAACATGTAACATAGACCGTCTTTATGCATCACTGTATCTCAAAACTTAAGTCTTTATATGTACCAAAACAGCAGTTATCACTCAATGAAGCAACAATTCCATGGAGAGGATGCATCAGATTCAAGATGTATTATCCAGCAAAAATAATAAAATGTGGAATTTTAGTAAGGATGCTTAGTGAGAGTGGCTATATTTTCAACTTCAAGATATATATGGGTGAAGGCAAAAAGTACAACAGATTATCTGCCTTATGGCCTTTTCTTGGTTCTTGGCATCATATTTACCAAGATAAGTACTACAATAGCATGTTTTTAGCTGAATTATTATTGAAGAACAAAACACTGGTTTGTGGAACAAAAAGAGAGAGCCATGGGTTGCCAAAACTACTAAAAGTAGCTGGCCACAAGAGCAAGTTCTGGCTCCAAATAGCTGGCCAGCAAGATGTTAATTTAGAATTATCCCACTTCAGTTGTTACAATTCTGTGATTGAAGAATAAATATTAAAGAGTTGGAAGAGCCCTTTTGATTTTAAGGGTACCTGTTTCAACCTCTCACAGTGAAATGTGTCCTTTTGGTTATGCCCTTGACATACAGGATGGGGAAAAAGTAGATTTACAGTTGCTCATATGAAAAACAATACAATTAATAAACAATAATACAAGAATAAACTGTGTTTCACGAACTTCAACTGTAAACCTGCTTTTGCCCACCCTGTATAGGCACTCAAATTCACTTGTAACAAGGAATTTACTTCCCGGGAGACAGCTCATGATGTAGCAGCTTAAATTAATTATGAGACTGTTGTAGGAGGCAATCACTTATAAATGGCATTAGAGCATTTAACAATTTCTTTGGTACAAATTAAATTTACTGTGTGTGCGGTATCTTTGGGGCATCTCTGAAAGTGCATATGAATTTTTCTGCCAATTAAGAGGCAATGCTGACTTCCCTGTACGTCCCTTTACCTTATTATTATTGTTACCTTTCTCATTATTGTGTGGACATAAAAGACTGTAAAATATAAAGTTTTATTTATATTCATGCACTAGAGGTCTGGTGCATGAATTCGTGCATGGGTGGAGTCCATCTGGCCTGCCCCAGCAGGCGGAGGGGCCACTGGTGGTTGGCAGGCCAGCCCCTCCCCCGATTGGGGTGGGCAGGCAATTAGAGGGGAGATGGCTTAGGGGGAGGGGCTAAGGGCAGTCGGCGGGCCAGCTCTGCCCACTCACTGATCTCCAGGTCAGACTCCTGGTGGAAGGGACAATTTGCATATCAGCCTTTTATTATATAGGATTAGAAATTTCTATTCTTTGGGAAAGTTTAACTGGTATGCCCTGTAATTTCTATGTGTTTTCTTTTCATTATAATGTTGTTATGGTTTGATCTACTGCATTAATTCAACATCCGTTGAAACAACTCTCAAGCTGGATCCTGGGGTAGTATGGAGAAAGGGATGCCAAGTGGTAAGGTCTTGCCCCTGCCTGCAAGTACCTCAAGGTTTAGTCTCAGCAAATTAAGAGCTTGGTATGTCACTAGGTATTTTTTAGATATCAATGTTTAAAGAACTATTAGTAAAAAGTATGCTGAATGACTCTGTTTTTGTTTGTTTGTTTTAGTGCTCCAAGGTTATACTATTCCTAAAGGCACAGTGATACTACCCAACTTGTGGGCAGTGCACAGAGACCCAGCCATTTGGGAGAAACCTAATGATTTCAACCCTACTCGATTTCTGGATGAGCAAGGACAACTTATTAAAAGAGAAACATTTATTCCTTTTGGGATAGGTCAGTTAACTTTATTTTCTTAATGGCATAATTAAAAATGAATGAGAACCAAAAGAATATTTTATTATTTCATAATACTGTTTTAAAAATGTTTCTTTCTGGGCAAGCTAATATAAGAGATAAATCATTTAGATAATAGATCTCCACTATGTTCATTTCAGATTTTAAAAACTAAGGGAAAGCAATTTGGTTTTAAATCTTTAAATATGCCTAGGAATTGTCATCTCTGAACTGTTCTAGTGATTGATTGTGTGCCAAGGAACTGCTGAAGTTCAGAGCAGCTTTTCACTGTCTGTTGGCTGGTGGGTGAGAGGAGTTCTCTATTCTCGGCAGCTGCTCCTTTAGGTTCCTAGAGAAGGAATACTCTGGAGAGTCTTAATCTGATTTATTTTTTCCCTAATCATCCAGGTAAGAGCACAGGAAAGAAATAAGTAGGTATATAACTAGGAGGAGATACGAATCAGATCTGTCTCTAGTTCCTGTCTAGAATGAAAATAGATTTTTATGAGTAGGAGTTTAAATGTGAGCTTCATATGTAAAAATTCTGATCAGCATTACTGTGGGAGGTCATGTGGCATATGTGGCAATTTTAAAATTTTAATCAGCATTATTGTGGGAGGTCATGTGGCATATGTGGCAATTTTATTTTAAAACTCTATATCTGTATTTAGAACAATTTAGATATTTCATATAAATGTGTCCTTTTAGAGACAGGAAAAGAGACGGTATTATAATGCTTTTTTTTTTCTGCTCTTATTTTAGGGAAGCGGGTGTGTATGGGAGAGCAGCTGGCAAAGATGGAACTATTCCTGACGTTTGTGACCCTGATGCAGAGTTTCACATTCGCTTTACCTAAGGATTCTGAGAAGCCCAATCTGACTGGAAAATATGGTCTAACTTTAGCCCCGAATCCGTTTAAAATAATCATTTCAAAGAGATAAAGTACATGTCTGAAAGGAGATGGTGAACAGGATGTAAATACATGTCTTTCTAAACACATTCTTCTTTCTACACTTGACAGTGGATCCAGCAACTTAGAGGATCCAGGTTAGGCTCAGGTTGGAGACTAAAAAAGAGGGTAGAACATATGGGAGATTTCATCTCCGGGCTCCTCAGCAGGATACTTCAGCCATTTTTGTAACGTTTAGGGAATGGGGCTAGAGGACTGGATTGGGAAGCAGGAGATCTGGATTTTATTCCCAGTGGCTTCTACCAATGAGCATTTCTTCTCATCTCAGTGCCTTAGTCATTTCATGTGGTAACAAAACTTGCCTTCTCTCTCAGCATTAAGACGGTCAAATGCCCTATACCTTTCCTAACATCATCAAAACACTGTTAAGTTCTGAAGAACACATTTAGGAATGGAAGGAAGACTGACCTATTTCAGACCTATGGCAACATGAAAGTGGAGCTCAGACATAAATACTTTGTCAGAAAAGGATGTGAGTTTAGACTGAGTTAGAGCTTTCCTTGCCACAAATCCTGTGCCAGTTGGGGGGGGGGGCGGTGAGGGTTGTTCTTGTTAATCTTTCTGTAATTTTAGTTTTTGTAGACATGGGAAAAAGTGGACCCTGGTCCAGTAATGTTGAGGAAAGGTCATGAATTCATATGTCTACCTTCCATTTCAATTACATGACAGTCAGACTAGCTGAAGACGTGGCTTCATGGCAGAATTCCTTTCTGCTGAGTTTACTTGCAAAGATACAGCTCTACCTTTTGGCTTGAGCCCTAAACAGTGAGCTAGGGAATTTTGATACTAGGATTCAGATTGTAGTGAATTCTTCCCTATTCTCCCTGCCACCAGGCTTAATGTATTGCATCCTTAAATACAATCAAAGACAGTAAGAAATTATTATTCGTATTAAAATAACTAAATTGTTTCTTAATAAAGAAGGCCCCTTTAGAAGAGCAGTTCTCAATAAAGGTAACGATCTCTTTCGGGGGAGAGGGGGTGTTTGGAAATGTATGGGTGTATTTTTGATTATCACAACGATGGGAGTGTTACTGGCCTTTGATGCCTTAGGATCCGATGCCAAATGTCTGAGCAATTCTGTACAAGTACTGTCCTGCCCAGTATGCCGGTATTGCTCCCAATGAAAACACAGTCCAAAGAATGATGAGCCTTTTCCTTTATTCACCCACAGTCTCCTTCCTTATATAGAAGTAATCATGATAATAATATAAACAACTAGATTTTTTAGCCTTTCCTTCTGCTGGTACCATATTCAGTGCTTTACTTGTAGGCATACATAATCCTTACAGATTATTAGGAGGATGCCATTTTGTAGCCGATAAAGCTAAAACATAGATGTTTAGGTACCTAGTGAAAAGACTCATTTCAAATTTAAAGTCTTTGTGCCTGGAGAGTTCTCTCTGAACCCCTTCTCTCTACTGCCACCATTTGATCCCTAGCAGTCTACCTACACTTTGCACTTTCAATATAGACAAATGAAACATAGGCTAATCTTTAGGTGCCTTGAAGATTTTTGTTAATAAAGAAAACAGAACTAATAAACTAAATGCCCTGGAACAAACTGTAAGTAAATGGAGAGCTGTGATATGGATTTTAGATAAGATACATGTGTGGATTAAAGTGCACCTTGAACAGGACAGTTTGTTACTGATCTGGAATTTCATAGGCTTTTGAATTGCACTAGTAATTTGGGATTAACAAATTTCTTACTCCTTAATTTTATACAAGCTTAATTTCAACTTTCCTAACAAAACAGTTCATAGTTTACTTGAGAAAAAAAACTTCTATGTGTGACTATGTTGAAATCAGATGTTTATTAAACTCTTAAATATAATATCTCAGTGTAGCACTTTAAAAACAGCTTTATATGGCTAGTCACCAAAAAGGCTATTAATGCTTTCCTTGCTCATGTTGACATTTTATACTTTATGATTTGTTGAAATATATGTAAAAACTGTAGCACTTTGTTTTATAAATTTGCCTAATATCTGATTTTTAGTCTTTATCTTTAGCATAGTTTTTATGCTTTTATTAAACATTTTAGTTTAACTTTAATAGTCTCATGTGTTTTTTGTTGTTGTTTCTTGGTGTTTTTTTTTTTTAACTGCTAAACCAAATTTTGTTTTACCAGATGTCAAGTTAGGAAATGGAAGAGGGAGTAAACCTCCAAAAAGAAGGAGATAACCACAGTTTTATATAAACATTTAGACAGTTGGGTAATATACTTATTCTCACAACTGTATCACAGACCAAGTTTCTTATTTTCAAAGTCAAAGTTCAGCATTATTTAAGGAAAGGATGAACCTAAACAAGCTCTTGTGGCAAAGTATTTAAAAAAAATTTTTAAATTTATTTTTCAATTATAGTTGAATATACATTATACTAGTTTCAGATATACAACAGTGCTTAGTCATTCATATACCTTATAATGTGATCACTCTAATAAATCCAGTACCCCTGTGACACTATATATAGTTTCAGTATTATTGACTACATTCCCTAAGCTGTATTTTACGTTCCTGTGACTATTTTTATGTGGCAATTTGTACTTAACCCTTTTACCTTTTTCACTCATTGCTCCAACCCTCTCCCATCTGGTGACTATCAATATATCTTTATTCATGAATTAGTTTCTGATTTATTTTGCTCTTTAGATTTCACATGTAAATAAAACTGCATGGTATTAGTCTTTCTTCGTCTGGTCTATTTCAGTCAGCATAATATGGTTTAGGTCCATCCATGTAGTGCAAATGGCAAGATTTCATTCTTTTTTATAGTTGAGTGATATTCCATTCTATATAAGTACCACATCTTCTTTATCTACTCATCTATCAATGGACACTTAAGTTGCCTCTAGATCTTGGCTACTGTAAATAATGCTGCAATAAACATAGGATTGTATGTATCTTTTTGAATTCGTGTATTGGATTTCTTCAGATAAATATCCGGAAGTAGAATTGCTGGGTCACATGGTAGTTATATTTTTAGTTTTTAGAGGAACTTTAATACTGTTTTTCATAGTGACTTGCACCAATGTACAACGCCAACAATGCATGAAAAGTTCCCTTTCCTCCACATACTCGCCAACACTGTTTATTGTTTATTGATGATAGCCATTCTGACAGGTGTAAGATGATACCTCATTGTAGTTTTAATTTGCATTTCTTTGATGATTAGTGATGTCATGATGATGTCATGAAGCTTTCTGTTTTCTTCTAAGAGATTCATAGTGTTAGTTTTTATGTAAAGTTTATTTTATCCATTTTGAGTTCATTTTTGCACATGGCAGGAGGTAAGGATCAAACTTCATTCTTTTACATGTGGATACACAGTTTTCCAAGCACCATTTGTTGAAAAGATTGTCTTTTCCCCATTGAATGGGCTTAGTAGTTTATTGAAAATGAGCTACCATATAGTAACTTGTTAAATACTACCTTTTAGAATAATGAATCATAAAACTGTTGTGTATGAACAGCAAATGAACAAATGAAATAAAATAGAAAGCACAGACCTATATATTCTAGTGTATAAATGTGGCAGCACACTATGAAGGAACAGAAAACAATATTTAAAAAACAGTGCTAGAGTAACTGGTTATAAAATTAAAGTAACATTTTTTTCCACTTCCCATACATCAAAATTAACACCCAAAGGTCTAAAAAGTAATAATAATGCATCTGTATATATGTATGAGACTTTTGATATAAGAATGGGGAGCTTCTTTTCTCCCTTCCAAGTACTAACCAGGCCCAACCCTGCTTAGCTTCCGAAATCAGACGAGATTGGGTGCATTCAGGTGGTATGGCCGTAGACGGGAGCTACTTTCCTAAGCATAAAAAAGTAGTTGACTCAATCGTAAAAATAAAGCAGAAAAGATATAATGATATAAAAATAAAAAAAACTATTGCCAAAAAATAATTGGCAAACCATAAAAAATTATTGTATCATCTTTGGCAAAACATTAATATCCTTAATGTACGAAGTGTTAATAATTTGATTAGTAGAATGTCCTACTTTTAAAAATAAGCAGCAGAGACAAAAAAAGTTGAAAATACAAATGACCAATATATGAAATAATATTTAAATTATTCAAAAATGCAACTAAACAGTACGATACTATTTTTTACCCATTGGAATTTAAAGGTAATTTTACAGAAGAAAATAATTGATAAATGAGATGCATTCATATACTATATTGGCAATATAGACTGGAACTACATTTCTGGATAACATTTAAGTATAAGCACAAAGGTTCTTATAGTATCTGTTTCTAAAAGAGTGGTATACCAGACTTGATCCTGGAACAAAATACTATATTAAAGGGAAAAACAACAATAGTGAATCCCAATCAAGTATGGAGTTTAATTAATAGTACTGTACCATTTTAATTTCTTATTTTTTGGCAAAGGTATCATGATTATGTAAGATGTCAAACTCAAGGGAAGCTGGGTGAGGGGGATATGTGCACTCTATACCATCTCTGCTTATTTTCTGTAAGTCAAAAATCATTGTAGGACAGTGAACAGCATGATGATGTGAAGGACCTCCAGGTTTCTCCTCCTGAAGTTATAAATTGGACGACTCTAAATCTACAAAGGATAACCTGCTGACACTCACTGAGACACCTGAATGTGGGCATATCTGAGTAAGTGGCAGAGACAGGACTGGGGGTGAGGGGAAGATAGAGACAGAAGCCATGTGCAGTCTGGTGCCTACTCTGGCCTCAGCAGACAAGAGAGCAGTGATCAGAGTTGGGTTGTAACCTCCACGAGGCAAACTAGAGGGGCATAGGCAGTAATTGGGCCTGGGTGGCTGGCACACATTGAGGCTGGGCCAAGGAGCAGAGGAGCAGTATAAAGGGTTCCAGCATTTCTTATCTCACTAGCACCAGACAGAGGATTTAGCAGAGCTGGGAACCAGCCCACCCCACCCACCTGTGACCTAATCTGGCCGTAAAATCCTTACTTG